CTCTTTTCTCGGTCCTCCAACTCGAGCACAGCAACGACGGTAGCACCACCTCCATCAGCCGGTGTACGAACACTGTGAGTTAGTGTAAGTGAGAGTGAGAGAGAGAAAAAGAGAGAATGAGAGAGTGAGAGAGAGAGAGAGAGAGAGAGAGAGAGTAGCGTGTGCCATCTATAGCTCTTCTTCTCTTCCATACCCCAAGAGAGAATTCTTTCTCTCTCTTTCTTCTCTCTCTCTCTATCTCTCTCTCTCTTTTTCTCTTTCTCTCTCTCTCTTTCTCTTTTCCATGGATATATAGGTAGTAGTCCTCTGGCTGGTCGATAGTTCGCGCGTAGCAACAGCCGGCCTGGGCTTTTTGCTAGACTTTTAAACCGTCAACTCAGAGAGAGAGCAAGCTAGCTAGGTACCCATCATCATCCTCCAACATTGCCCAGGCCCTTGCCTCAGGAGCAACTGGCCTCTTTCTTTCTTTCTTTCTTTCTTTCATTCTTTCATTTTTTGTTTCTTTAGTTATTTCTATCTTCTTTTGCAACCATCAAGTTACTATTACTACTTCTTCTTCTTCTTCTTCTTTTGGGGTTTTTTCTTATTTCTCATCAGAAACCTTTATTCCAACCCTTTCACAATCTACTACTATTATTTTTTTTTTTTTTTTCAAATCACTGACAATTTTAGATTGAGGAAAGTTCTGTTGTAGGGATTAAGTTTGATACCTATCATGAAGTTGTTCTTAAATTTCATGTAACATTGTTGATTTGTTCTAGCGAGTTGTTGGGTATTTTTTTAATGAATATAGAAAATATTTTATAGAACTTTTCTTTGTAACATATTGATATTAATACAATGTAATATATTTGAACAATGATTCGTGAAATTTTAAAGAAACTTATGTGAAACTTCAGAAACTCAGTGGAACACAGTTTGATATTTTATACAAATCCGAGTTAAGAAATTTGTGCCATAAGATTATCTAAATTTATTGAATCATGAATACAAAAGTATCCATTTTATTTTATCATTCCTAATGAGACAAAAATAACATCTTTTCTATGTCGTATTAAAAGATTTTGAAGTTGACGAACGACGATGAAGGGAAAAATAAAACAACAAAATATAACAAAATGTAAAAATAAAAGAAAAACTAGAAGTATAGGATGAGGATGAGTAGAAGTAGAAGTAGAAGTAGAAGTAGAAGGTAGGAGTAGTCGAGATGAGGATGTCGAGGTTTAATGTCGGCCGTGGTACTGCAAGCAGCCTGTTAACTGCAGCCGTTGCTTTGCCTGGACACTCTGCTGTCGGATAGGACGTTATGATGGTTGGAAAAAGGGAGAAAGAAAGAAAGAAAGAAAGAAAGAAAGAGAGAGTCAAGCAGTCCAATGGTTCCCGGGAATGGGCAGAGAGAAAGATAGATAGATAAAAGTAGAAGAGTGTGAGAAGGAAGGATGGAAAAGTGAGGAGGGAAGTGGGATGAGTGGTGGAAGAAGGGTGAAAGGGAGAAGGCAGGAAAGAACGAAGGGTGGGGGAATGGGGGAATTGAGGAGGGAGAGGGGGAGTGGGAGTGGGTAGGAGGGGGTTACGTCGCCCGTTCGAGAGGGCTCTCAACGAAAGTACTGGAATTATTCCCGAATCTACCCAACGCGCCAGCGTATCACCAACTGGATGTTTCTGCTGCTGTTTTGCTGCTGCTGCTGCTCCTGTTCTTTCTGCTACTGTGTTGCTGCTGTTGCTACTGTTACTGTTACTGGCTACTGGACTACTGGACTACTGGTTACTGTTATACTGCTACTCGTAGTGCTGCTGTTGCTGATGTTCGTGCTGATGGTTAATGCTGCTTTGCCCCTCACCAAGCAGCACTCTCTGACCGCTCAATACCAAACCGCGGTTTTCACGCGATAGCAACCCTCTCTCTCATTTTTTTACTTTTTTTTTTTTGCTTTATATATTTTCAATCTCTTGTACACAATTTTTATTTTATTTTATTTGTTGTTTTGTTTTTTTGTATTTACTTTCAACACTCAAGTTTTTAACACCAACGTTATTTGGGTTGAAGATATGATTTTGGTATAGTTTTTATTGTCATTATATTAGATTTATTTGGGAATAATGTTAATTTTATTTCGTATTCATTTGATATATAAATTTTTCTTCGATCCCTTGTTCAATTTTTGTATTTTATTTTATTTTATTTTTGTTTTTGTTTACTCTCAACATTCGAGTTTTTAATATCAACGTAATGTAACTTGGAGATAGGAAATTTTAAAGATGATTTGGTATAGTTTTTAATAGATATGGTTTAATTGTCATTAATCATTAAATAAGATTTACTCAATAATAATTTAAGCTTTATCTCGTATTCATTTGATATACATTTTTTTTTCAATTCCCCTTATCCAATTTTTCTTTATTTTATTTTATATTTAAAATTTACTCCCAACACTCGAGTTATAAATATCAATCCGTAAAACCATGAAACTAAATAAACTTACTGGATTATATTACCGTATCGTTAATAAAGATTTAAAATCATGTTAAATTATCGTGCAATACCCACGTGCTTTCATTTTATTTTCTCATCTCTTTCAACTCTTAGAAAAATTTGTTTCGGAATAAGAAAACGTTGAATGAGATGATACATACATACGATTCCCATACGTTTCTTCCTACCTTCTCATACTCGACTGTAAAATTGTCTGACGAAAAAATAAATAAAAGGAAAATAGAAGGAGATAGATAGCAAGAGAGAAAAAGAGATAGACAGACAGAGAAAACAGACAGATATACAGAAAAAAGAGAGTGAAAAAGAGACAGACAGATTCACAGACATACTGAAAAAGAGAAAAAAAGTTAGAGGAATTTAGAATTCGGTAGGATCGATAGAGACGTTGCTATGAGAGAGTTTAAATGTCGAGCAACGACCCTAAAAATTCAGAATCTAGTTTATCGAGAGTTCATTGTACAGAAGAATGAGAACAAAATATGCAATGATTTCGAAAGAAAGGGTAAAGAATTTGAAGAAAATAAGGTGAACGACAGGGTGAAGAATAAATAAGGAAAGAATGAGGATGAGTCAAAGGAAGAAGAGGAAGTGGAGAAAAGGAGCAGCAGGAGGTGGGTGGGGGTTGAGGGGGAGGATGAAAAGGATAACGATGGTGGCAGTGGGTCGGTACGTGCCTAGCTTTGAAAATAGCCGAAACGTTTCTCTGGTTTACTGTGAACGAAGACGAGAAGGGTAATACTGTGCCATTTCTCGAACGGTCACATAGAAACGACCTTGAGATCAGCTGCACCAAAATAACAGCTGCGATAGAGAAGTTCGTATTATCTTTTTACAAATTTTGTTTATGGTTTTGTTTAGGAATTCAAATTAACATTAAATATATCGACAACATTTCACACGTATATATACCTATATATTATATTTCTATTATAATTTATTATTTAAAACAAAACAAAAATTATAAATATATATTTTCATATGGAATGAAATTTTAGCCAGAAGAATATAATTATTTATTTTATTTGGAAATAATTAATGTGTATACATTTTATGTTACTTTATGGTACAGTTTTAATGTTCAATTCAATTAATTCTCATATCTTGTTCAATTAATTTTTCTCCGTCTTCGTTTTATTAACTGCATTTAATAAATAAAATATATATATGTACATATAAAACTTAGAAAAATATTATATCGAGGTTAAGTCAACTTTACGATAATCAGAAATTTTCATTACGAATTAAAATTGATCTCGTAAAAAAGAAAAAAAAGAAAAAAGGAATCATTTTATTTATCCATAAATCACAATTACCCAAACTGACAATAATTATTTACAATAAATCCCTTCTTCTTCTCTATCAACAAAAAAAAAAAAATAAAAAAAATAGTGTAGGAAATAAATAATATCTATCCATCCATCTTTTTTCCACCCCCTTTCACCACCTCCCACCGCTCCTCGTCCTCCTTTTTTTTTTAAAACGTTGCCAACGCGTTGTCGTTTTCCTCACCCCTTCTCTTCCTCATCCCCCTTTTCTATATATCTAACTATGGTTCTCTCTCTCTTTCTCTCTCTCTCGAATCAGAAGATCCAATCTCGCATGGTTCGAACTTATCCGTTTCAGCGAATTTATTATACCCCGTGAACGTTTCTGCCGATAAAGCAAGCTCTCGTGATATATGAACAGTTATGAATCATGCTCGCGTTAATTCGTTACCACCATTTAACCATTGTATAAATATACAATGGGAGAATGGGTGGGTGGGGCCGAGGGGACGATAGAAAATATATAATAGGAAAATACACTATAGTTTATCGAACTAATACACCTATTATTATCTATAGTAACGTGTTATTTTTTTAACTATACGACAATTGTTCTTTTGTTTCACATAATATATGTAATATATTTTATTTTGAAATTTGTCGTAAAAAATTTTCACATTCGTGTAAATATTATTCATTGAGCAAAAAAGTTTGGTTGTACAAAGAAATAATTAAACGTGTAAGTAATTTTGAATGTAAATATTTTCTACGATTAATAATTAAATAATATTATATATTGTTATATTTGTTTTTTTTTTATATATATATTATTTTTGATTATAGACGTGTTGATTTTTTAATTAGAGAGAATGGTTGATATATATATTGTACTTTATATTTTTATTTTTATTTATGTGATATTGAGAAAATTGTTTAAGTTTGAGAACCACTGTAATAGAGTGAGAGAGATATAAATAAATGGGATGCTGAATGCATAGATATTTCGATAGGAATATCTGTGCATGATTAGTATGATGTATACTGTCTATGACTAGTAGTTTATATCAATGCAATGAATATTGCAATACACACTTTGTTATCGTTTAATTAATTATGTTTTTGATTAATCAAAGATAAGATGCACTTATTACATGATATAAAAATAATAAATTGTAGCGATCATTTTTTTCATTTGAAAAATCTATAATAATATAATGAAATGAAATTTATTTTAGACTCACGTTGGTGACGTTGTAATTCCCGAATTGATCTTTAGGGCTTCCTGATGGTTGTTCACACTGCTTATTTTTGAAGGCCCTATAGTTCTCCCTTAGCTGTTTTCCGTACTGAAATATTAAAAAAACAAATAAAAAATACGTTTTAGAATTCATTTATAAATATAATATAATATTAAGAGAACAATATGTAATATAATTGAATATATAAAACGTAATTATTAAAAATTGGATAAAATTTGCGTTATAATTAATTGTATAACGCATAATTCGTTAATAATTTTTTAAATCTTTAGAATAATTTGTCTCGTTATTAAATAACTTTGATTGAAATAAAAATAATTGATCAATTAAAAAAAAAAACTCTAATAGAAATAATCAAAAACCAGTTTTAAAATATTATTACGATTAAGAGAAAATGAATTTGTAAAATGTATGGATAAAAATTATGCATATTTATTAATTGCAATTCTATAAAGATTGTCGACAGACACATCGAATCACATAGCAATTGATTTTGACGACAATCACATACCTATTCGCGTTAAATTTAGATTTGTAGTCACGTATACTTGAAACCCTGTCATCCCCGAGTACCAAGGGGATTGTTTTATTGCTGTTTGACGTAAAGATATTTCAACGGGGAAGATTCAGCAGGTGGAAAACTTCTTAAATGATACTTTAACGATATAAGGAAGACGTTAATGTGTACATTACCTAAATAAAATACGAAAAACTCATGATTCCTCACGTTAACGGAACAAATCAGTTAATCTGCAATTAATTTGCAAGGTTTTCAAGCTTTACCAGTAACATACATATACATATTCGTGTAAAAAGGAAAATAGGGATTAAGGGAAAGGGTAAAGGGGAGGAAAAGTGAAGTATCGTTGATAATGTTATACACATAAGTAACTGCCATACCATAGGCGTGGATAAACCATGGGATATGACCCGCTGTATCGACCCGGAAGAAGAAGAGGTGCGCGCGTTCGCGTACACCTACACACCCACACACGCACACGTACACGCACAAGTAAACGCAAACGCGTATGCAAACGGATTAACCACAGTGGTACGGATTTTATGCAATAATTTTCTCTTAATCTCCCCCTAGTTTTACCCCTTTTTACCGACTAACACCACCATCACCATCGTCATTATTATTATTATTATTATTTTCTCTACCACCACCCTCACATCACTCTTGCTTGCTACTTTTATTCTTATATCTGTGTGATTTTAATATTAACGAATCGATATTAATATTGGTGAGTGAGAAATATCGTTTTTGTACGATAAGAACGATACATTCGTTGATTCTCTAATTAAAATGGCTTTTACGGAGTACCGGTATAATTATCGCGTTTTAGTGAAAATTCATTAATTATTATTATTCAATTCGATATTTGTGTTAGATATCGAGATATATATAAAATAAATTAGAAAGATAAAATATGAAAATGAAAAATATGAAAGAATATAGAGATAGAATATTAAATAGAATAAATAGTTTATTAATATATATAGTTGGTTTTCTTTTCTCTTATTAATATTAAAATGATTTTCTAATAATTTATGTATATGCATTTTATTGGCTATCTTTCAAACAACTTTTAAGTATTTATATTTTTGTATAATATATTTATATATATATCTTGTACAATAGTAATAATAATAAAAATAATTTTACGAAGAATTACATAAATAAATAAATATTCGAATAAACATTTGTGTAATTTACATTTCCAACGGAAATTATTAAAAGTAATGAATAATAAAATCAAATAAAAATCGAATAAAAGATAAATGAAGAAAAAATAAAAGATGGATCACTGTTGGTGAGTAATAGAAAAGAAAAAAAAGAAAAGCAAAGTTAACTAACAATAAGAAAAAGATGATCGTAGGGAGAAACGCGAGCGTGAAACAATCATCCATCGTTCGGAGTTGAAAAATATCTGCTAAGTCACGAGACGAATGTTCGATTCGAGATTGAATAAAAAAGAAATAAAATAAAATAAGTAAAATAAAGAAGGATAGTATAATTTTAAGAGTGGTGATAATTAGAAGTAGACGAGAGGTGTGATAAGAGCAAGCCAAAAATGTGAGATAATTATATATGATATAATGATAAGACATTGTAAAAAACTTTGTAAGTTGTGCAATAAAAACCTGATTATATATATATATAAGTAAAATAAAGAAAATAAAATAAAAGAAAATAAAAAATAAAAAAAAATGCCATTTTTCGAGCGTCGTATGAATGTTTTTCGTTTACGTGTATATGTCAACGAGTTGGCTTATTGCAATTGCTTTTGGTTTTTTCTTGTATAGTCATCTTATCGAAATAATGAACGGGTAAAGTGTAGGCGTTAGCACAAGGTGACCCCTTCTAGAGTATCTACTGAACGATCGTATAATTACGTAATCGAATTATCAGCGTACATAAGAATCGACTCAGCCTAATCGGTTAACAAGCAATTTGTAGTACGGCTCGTAAAATTACGACGATTGGAATATCCTCGTTTGAAGGAAAAAAAAAAAGAAAAAGAAAAAAGAAAAAAGGAAAGAAAAGGGAGGACTGAAAAAAAAAAAAAAAAGAAAAATCCGATCGATTAGTGCAAAGCCAATTCTTTTCTTGGATTACACATTCGAAGGAATTCGAGAAAGATTTATTTATTTTTTTTTTTTAAGGATAGAATTTCATTAGTTTCTTTTTTTTTCTCTTTTTTTTTTTTTATCGATAGCGAATTAATTAGAATTATCGATTATCCGAAAGAGATTCGAACAGAAAAAAAAGAAAAGGGAAATAAAATTAAGGCGAATACTTCTTCTTCTTCATCTTCATCTTCTTCTTCTTCTTCTTTTTCTTTATTTTCTCTCTTTATTTTTTCAATTAATTCATTACTCGATTGATTAAATAGAATTGTATCTTTTTTATTCTTTAGTATTATTTATAGAAAGTTAATTTTAATTAAAACGTAATTATCCTTACTCTCTCTCTCTCGTAACAGTTTCAATCGATTAAATAGGCGGATTTTTCGATCAATTAAATAGAAAGCGTTTTATTTCTTAATTAAAGAACATTGATTTTAATTAAACACCAATAAGACAATCTAGAATTGCATTCGTCTTTCTGCATCCTTAGGAATGAACATTCTAAAATGCACGCTTTTTTCTTTTCATATTTTACAATTGGTATACAAATTCTGGAGATTTTTTATGAAAAAAGAATAAAAAGAAGAAAGAGAAGCTTGCGAGTCGATTGAAAATAAAAACGAAACAAAATTTTCGTACAAAAAAATATAAACGAAAATCATTCAGAATATAATCGATGAGAATAAAAATAATTAAACAATGCTGTTGCATCTTATATTATATATTATCATATATATATATAAGTTTGCAATATTATTACTTTATCATTATATAAACTTGCAATATATAATTACTTTATTATTATATTATTTTATTTTATAAAATATTAACTTAATATTATTAAGTTACTACTATATAATTTTGCAAGCTTATATTATAATATTGAAAATAAAATGAAAATCATTCTGAATATAATCGATAAAAATAAAAATAGTTAAACAGTGCTGTTACATCTCATATTATATATATATAACCATTTTTAACTAAAGTACTTGGCTAAACCTCACTTGAAAGATAAAAAAAAGATTAAGAAGAATAAGAATAAAAAGAAAAACAAAAAAAAATATTAAAAAGATAAAATTAAAACGTCGTCTAAAGAAGATCGTTATCCACTTTAAATTCATCGAAAGAAATGAAAAAAGAGAAAGAAAGAAAGAAAGAAAGAAAGAGGGTGGTCTTTAGAGGAGGGAGGGTATTCGCAATGGTTAATCCGTCATTGATCGAAGTAGAATTTCCTCGATCAGGGTGATGGGGTTGGGAGAGGGGGTGGTTGGGGAGGGTTTCTATGACGTTGATGTCGAGAAATAGGAGGAAAAGCACTCGACAAAGATCTCGAGAACTTACCAACACCACTATCGTCATCATCATCACCCACTATGAGATGAAAGAGTAAGGAACAGGGATGGGGGGTGGTGGGGGTAGTATATACACGTGTGTGTGTGTGTTAAAAAGAAAAAAAGAGAAAGGCAGAAGGAAGGAAGGAAGGAAGGAAGGAAGGAAAGACGGAGAAAGCAAGTATGCCACGATAAGAATAAAAAAAGAAGAGGTTAAGCTTCGTCCAAGTTAGAATACCCCACCCCCTCTCCCTCATCCACCCCTCATCCACCTCTCATACGCCTCTCTTCTACCCCCTGTTGGACGAGACGTTTCAAGACGACCACTCAGAAACTACCCCTTCTTCTTTCTCCTCAGCTACCTACCTACCCTACCTACCTACCCCCTTTTTTTTGGCTCGGGGATGAAAGAGTTAGAGGAAGTATTCGAGCTACTTCTCGAAGAAACTCGTACGAGTACTATTACTACTACTATAATACTACCCTACACCTTCTGTATTGAAAGAACACGTCACTGATGTATAACTTTTCTCCTCTCTTTCACTTTATCCCACATTCACCCCCCCCCCTTTCCCTATTTCTTTTTTACTTTTAACGAAAAAAAAGAAAAAGAAGAAAGAAAGAAAGAAAAGAGAGAAAAAAGGTGGTAGGTTGGTTGAAGTAACAACCTGGGGAACGGGAATGTGGGTAGTACACCGATGGAAAAAGAAAGATAATCTTAAAAAGAAAGAACTGCCGAATGAAAAGGGTTAGAATAAGAGAAAGAGAGAGAGAGACAAACTGATGGGAAAAGAAGAAGAAGAAGAAGAAGAAGAAAGAGGAGTTAGGAGTGAAGTGGGTGAAGGAGGGCTTATGTAAAGCAAAACCAGGGGAACGTCAGGTTTCAGACTAGACTAAGTAGATGTGTGTGTGTGTATATGTGTGTGTTTGTATCAGCCCGAGGGTGTTGTTCAAGAGAAGACACACATCGGGGGTCTTTGAGGGTGGTCCAAGTCTTTTTTTTTGAGCTTACAAACGAGAATGTATAAGGATGAGGATGAGGATGACGATGACGATGACGTTGTTGGGTGATGATGATGATGGTTTTTTTACTAATACTGCTACTGCTACTGTTACTGTTACTGTGCTGCTACCGCTGATGTCACGAGAAACGGACCCCCCTCACTAGAAACTCGTCGTCTGCTTTGAGAGGTTCGGTCTGAGTCTCCACTTTGCGAAAGAATAGACCACTGAAGAGTCGTGTAATGGGGACCTATATGTAATGTACACTACCGACTAAAAGTTTCTAATTATTTTTCTGATTAATAGAAACGATACTTCAGGTATACCTATTCCTATCGTGATATATTTTTATTTAGGAACGAATGATTTACAGTTTGTGCATTGTCACCGAATTTTTTTACAAATTATACTAAAAAATAACACTATCAAATAGAAGTTTTAAATTATTTGTCTGATTAATAGAAACATATAAGATACTTTAGGTATACCTATTCCTATTGTGATATATTTTTATTTAGGAACGAATGATTTAAGATTTATGCATTGTCACCGAATTTTTTTTATAAATTACACTAAAAAATAACACTATCAAGTAGAGAAGTTTTAAATTATTTGTCTAATTAATAGAAACATATACGATATTTCATGTATACCTATTCCTATTGTGATATATTTTTATTTAGAAACGAATGATTTACAGTTTATGCATTGTCACTGAATTTTTTACAAATTACAAGACTAATCTAATCTATTACCCATATTAATTTTCATTTTTAATTAATCATCTTATATTGAATGATAAAAACACACCCCCGACCTATTTTCTTTTTCTCTTTCGATTTGCTGTACACATATAAAAACATTCATTGTAAAATGAAATTTGAAAGTTGGCAAAACGCAAGCTTAGTTTGCTATTGAAGAAAACATAAAATGATTGAGATAGGAAAGAAATATAATAATATAAAGAAAAGAAAAAGGGGGTGGGGGTGGGGATGGGGGTGAGTGAGTGAAGAAAGGAAGTAAAGGAGAAAAATTGACGTTACCTTGGCGAGCCTCATGGCTGTAAGCCAACAAGCCCGTGCCTTTTCGCTGTTAAAGGCGATGACCTTGAGCCCGTGCTCACCAGTTTCCGTGTCTTCGGCCTCAGCGTTGCTACTAGGCCTAAGACAGGCGCCCCACTCGAATGGGGCGTTAAAGTATTTCTTTGCGTTCGGAATTCTGTATATGTGATAGTCCGAAAGCCGAGCAATTGGGTTCAGCAAATCGGTTTCCTGTAACAATTCAAATCAAATCATGAAATTTAATCAATGACTAATTGAACAATTGTTTAGAAATAAGAAGAAGGAAGTATTATATTTCATCCATGAAACAAACTTTTTTTTAGTATTGGTTATTGATAAACCACCATAATAACTATTCAAAGTATTAATACTAGATTTACGGATATTTCCGTTCATTATTTTTTAATGACTTGCAAACATTGTTTGAATGAAAGGGTTGAGTAGAGGGTAGAAATTAATATTTATATTTATATTAATCAAATTTGTAACGAGTCTCAATTGATTCAGTCCGTAAATCTAATATTTAATAATACCAATAGAATTTCATTAAATTTAACCTGTATATTACGTTCTCTATCAGAAAAATTTATTGAATTAATGATACAAAAAGTGAAAAAGAAAGATATAATTGTCAGTTACTTAAGTAACCTACGTGTATAATGAATAGAACATAAAGACACAAAGGAATAAAAAGAAAATAAAACGTGTCTAAAGATTTTCATTGAAAACCAATGAAAATTCCCAACAGTAGCAAGTAAAATTCACCTTACACATTTCTATCTCACATTGAAAAATTTCTCTACACAGATAGAAACGGTTGATTATTAATTATTCCTTTACTCGAATTACGTGTTCTTCCTTATTCATCAATAATGTAACCGAGACCCTAACAAAGAGACTTGAAAAGTAACGAAGGAAGTGAAATGGGTAGGCAAGCAGCAAGTGCTTACTTGCTTGCTTGCTTGCTTGTTTGCTTGCTTGCTTGCTGTTCTGCTTCTCAGCTTTCAATGTATATTCTATTGTAACAGACTATGTAACGTGAAAGATAATATTCTCTATGTCCCATCTATCTAACTATCTATTTATCTATCTCCATCTCTATCTCTATCTTTCTTTATCTTTCTCTGTGAACATTGTTTAAATAGACAACGAGATCATTAGCGTACAAGACATCCAATCTTGACGTTGGTAACGGGCAAAGATGGAAGGTTATTATTAATAAAAGATAGGTGTGTAGTAACTGGGTAAAGAGATGGTAGTAAAATGAAACGAACATAGATGAACCAAGAAGAAGAAGAAGAAGAAGAAGAAGAAGAAAAAGAAGAAGAGTAAAGATGGAAAAGAAGTTTAAAGAGAAAACTCTTGGGAAAACGACTAAGGTAATGAGCAACCGGCCGGATTGAGTAGCATATTCCGTAATCACGTTGTTTCCGGCCAAGAAGATAAGGTCAGAAGTAATTTATTCAAAAACCCAAGTTGGTAAAGGATGGTAGAAGAAAATGGGGTGGAATAGGTAGCGAGAAGGGAGGAAAGTTGAGGGGGGTGGGGGGTTTAAGAAAGTTAGTGGGTGGTTTTAAGATCCAACACAGACGAACGAATGAACGAACGAATGATCCCTTAATCCTTTCAACTTAATCCCGTTTTATTTGAATTTCAAATAATGTATTATACATATTGTATTTTACATGTGCACCCTGTTATAAAAACAATACAATAGTTATGGTCAGAGTTTAAAAAAGTAAGAAGAATTTGTTTTAATATTAATCGGATTGTCTGATTATATGAGGTATCTTGTATGTTTGTTTGTTTGTATGTGTGTTTAACAAAAGAGAAAGAGAGAAAGATGAAATAGAATAGACATATTGGTTGGTGGTATGAATGTAAATTGCGTTGGCGAATAATAGAAGGAGAATTATGAAGATGAAGAAGAAGAAGAATAAGAATAAGAAGAGAATGGTAATGGTAAGCAACGTGTCTTGGTATGCTTAGATTTTCCTTGAGAGAGATAGAAACTTGCTGGCCCTGGGTTATTCTCCTTCTCTATTCATTTGTATATTCTTATACATGTATTATATATATATATATATGTATGCATAAATGCATGCAAGGAAGTATATATGAACTTATGTATATGAACATATTCTATAGATGTATGAATGTATATATGGATTTATATATGAACGTATGAATGCATATACGTTTATATCAATGCATGTATAAATACAATTATGTGTACGTGAATTTATAAATGTATGCGTTAATATATATGAGTTTCAAAGGGAAAATTGAAGACAGTTAATAAATTTTGATGAACAAATTTATTTGATCTTGTTGAACGTTTCGTCCCTTACTGGGGACTTCCTCAGCAACTACAAAATTTTTTTTTTTATTACTTTATAATTATGACTTGTTAAAAAGATATATAAATATTACAATAAATAAATAAATAAATAAATAAACTTTGAATTTTTTTACCTCGATCACCTAGTTCACGCGTCAATACATATTATTTTAGAGTCATACAT